GTCTGGTCAATCCTATAAACCCAGTGTTTCCTAACGCAGTCCTCATACACCCCCGGAGAGACCACATTTTTGCTCCCTCCTAGCATCCAGCCAATCAAGAACTTCAAATACCTGGCATGGCTATGCTGGGAGCTGGGAGAGAACAAAATTATGAACTGTCTGTGTTCCCTGCAGACTGGACTGGGTTGGGAAACACTGCTGTAAGTGACATAGGCGACCGCCTAGGGAGGCACCTTCTGAGGGGCGCCAAGGCTGATTCTAAACTAGGCAACCAAGTCAAAGTGAAATTGGGTATCTTGTATGCAAAGTACTGAGGGCCTGTGCAGTGCCGACACAGAACAGCTATGTGATGTGGGGGGGTCGGAAAGGTGTCACGGACACTGTCAGGTTAGCACAGTGCGACAAAAAAATTAACAGGTCTGTCAGACAATTTAAAAAAAATTGCAATTAACTGCATACCATGACGATTAATTGTATATACAATCATGTTGCAATATCATCAAAAAAATGTTATATTCTGCATTTTCATTATAGAATTTAAATTGAAAAATATTTACATATACTATTCTCCCACCGAGTATCAAAATTATCCAAGAAACAAGAACGCCTTATAACACTGTCACTTACGATTATGAGGGGTCCAGGCATGCAGTGCTGGAAGCCGACTCCGTTTGCTTGGGTATTTCTTCTTATTGTTGTTCTTCGGCACTAAAACAATACGGGGAGCAGAAACTGTAAGGTGCAGAAACACCAAATCTGTTTGAATGCCCCTCACTACTCAGGCAAGCAAAATCACACCCATCAGCCTGATGGTGGCGCCCTAAGGCAGTGATTTACATTTTGGCCTATATTTATTATTATTATTATTATTATTATTATTAGTAGTAGTAGTAGTAGTAGTAGTAGTAGTAGTAGAAGTCATATTTTTTCATTATATAACAATGTTACTTATTATCTACATTAAACAATGAACCAACTTCTTTTTCCTTGCTACCCTTGCATATGTCTTTTGGAGGAAACTGGGGGATCGGTTACCGTCGGTGAAGTTGCCTTGAACACAACATGGGCTTTGATCGGACCTGGCATGTCACCAACACCCAGAAGATGCTGGTGTCCTTTGGGTTTCCTGTCTGATCATCCATCCATCCATCTACCTTCTAATGGCTTATCATGGTTGGGGTCGCAGGGATAACTAACCTACTGCTGTAAATGGCTTAAGTCACTGGTAGGAAACGACAACTGGGACCACCTATGGCGTGACCAGCACAAACGCGAGTGTGTCTGCGTAGGCAGTGCTGGTGATCTGACAAGCTCACCCCGAAAGCTAATTAGACCGAGGGGGGTTATTTAGTTGGCTTATAAAGTGCTGATTTAATTTAATTTTCCCCAGATTCTTCCTACTTACCTTTTGACAGATTTATTATGATAGAATAACGGAGAAAGCCCAATTACACCTGACAATCACTTTATTTTTCTATGCGTAATGGCTTTAAGGAGAATTTCCAAAAAGCACATCTTTGGGATTCTTTCCTCTCCAGTACTGGGGTATCATTCATCATTCATATATTCATTATGAAAAGGCATTAGCTAACTGGTCTGACTGGTCCAGAGAAGTGGGGCCCAAGAAAACCAGCTTATCGTGAACTTCAGTGCGAGGGGACTACAGACCCTGGGTTTGAGAAAGAGTGCGGCCACTCTGGAGAAGGTAATTCATGGTGAACAGGAAGTTACTTGACTAATGAAAATCTGTTTATCCCTGCCACACACACACACACACACACACACCTCTGTTCTGAGAAACTGTTCCCAACTGTTCTGTAGTGTTTGTAGACTATATACCACTCATTATTGAAAAATACTAATCTCTCAGTGGAGAGCAATTAGTTCACTGTGTTTAGAGGTCTGCTAACAGATTAATATGTTCCTGCTTCTTAGCTATTTTAATACCCATGGCCTAGTTTGCTACTTGAGTGTTTCGCACATACTGATTCCCATATGCACATTTAGCTGTGAGAAGTACTCCTCTCTTAGTTTGACACTAGTATAAAAATTGATGCATTGAGCTGTTGTCAATAAATTATTCATACCGAGAATGAGAATTGTATTTGGAAACCGCAATAAATTTCAGCAGCAGTGTATGGTCTGTAGTTTATGTTAGACAACAAGTACTTTTTTGCGTCCCTCTCTTGCCACCTACCCACCTTAATCAATGCTTTCACCATAACACTGAAAATTAAAACGGAAATTAAATAAAAACGATACTAGAACGAGTCATTGTCAGAAGTAAAAGCAATGGACTGAACTAAAACTAAACTGAAATTCCAAATAAAAACCCCACGTCACGTCACACTCTGACGCACACATCCGATTACGCCCTGTGAGCAACGCAGAGACACAAATTCATTCAACCGGATCCAGGGTATGAACCAAAAAATGAGCCACAACCCTGCAGATTTCAGGCTACTGTCACAGACCTCATACGACACATTTATATAAAGACGCTCCTCTACTTACGAACTTTCAACTTACAAACTTTCAGATATACGAACAAAGAGGACTGTAAGTCCAAATTGTGTTCATTGGGCTCCCGTTTCCTGTCCACTACATCATTTTTTTTTTCTGTTCGCCAATTCCACCTAGTACGACTTCTGGCCGCTACTCCCGCCGCGCAGCAGCGTAGCGTGCGTACTCCCAGCATCCTAGTTCTTAGTACTTGCGTATACCCTTAAAATGATGTCGAATAACAACTTACGAACATTTCAAGTTACGAACGGCCGTTGGGAACGTGTCTCGTTCGTAAGTAGAGGAGTGTCTATATATAATGTTAAAATATGTCAGTAAATTGGGATTCATATTTCTGAAAGGATTATTGAAAAGAAGCAAATATAAATCATAAAGATTCATACTGCAAATCACATCTTCTTAGCCATATAAACATGCTTTCCTTAGTATCAATGTATTACGTATGTTACAGATTTATACAGTATTAGAAAACTGTGCTTTATCTTGCATTAATATTAGCTGTCTTGTCATGCATTATGGTTTAATCCTGAACTATTCTGCAATACCAGGTTTTTTAAAAAATCATCTACTTCTTTGCTCCAGCGTATGAAACTGTGCTCAGGAGTGTGTAGTATGTATCCTAAAATCTCAGTACTTATACTTAATAAGTTCAAAATGCAAAATACTATTTGAGTAACACAATTATTATCAGGATAAACTTCAAATACAGGAAATATTTAAAGAAAATGGATGCAAATGAATGTGTGTTTTTACCATTAAGGAAAAATTCACTTTTTTTCACAGCAAAAGCTTAGCAGACGAGCAAAACCTGTGTCTCTTGCAGAAAACTGAAAAGCAACGTAAGGATAAATCACGCCGTTAAGCACCTTCACGTTGTAACAATGCAGCACGGGAGCTTTCAAAGAAAATGGGAGCCTCTGGTTTTGCTGTGAAAATTAAGTCATGCTTTATTTTATATATCGATGTACAACGTACCTGATCTCAGAAGACAAAATGCAGAGTGCCCAGAAATTACCATTAACCTGAAATTTTAATTATTTATAGTTGGGTAACCTATTAAGTCTAAAATTATTTGATCAGTTAGAACAGTCATGCAAATTTTCATGAGCATGCAAAAAGAAAAGAGATGCCATACTCTATACAATCAGGGCCTCTGGTCTGGTGAGCTTAAATACTGGCAAAACTTCCATCCTTTCATGAGATCAGGTTGTTGTACAAAACGATATTCTGTACAGACTCAGAGTTCGCCTGTGTTTCCTTTAAAGAGCAGAGCTAGTACTTGCTGGACATTCCGCAGGTGTTACGCAGACTGTAGCAGCAGATGATCTCCTTGAAGGTCTTCCTCATCTCATGACTACGGAAGGCGTAGATGAGCGGGTCGATGACGGAGTTACACATGATCAAGATGAGGTACATGTTGAAATGGGACATGAAGCAGACGCAGTAGATGTTCCTGGGACAGGAAATCATGAGGATGAGGTGGAGGAAGAAGGGCGCCCAGCAGACGATGAAGATCCCCAGGAGGATTGTGAGGGTGATGGCAGCCTTCATGCTGGTGCGCGGGTGGACGGAGTTTTGGCCGGGCAGCGCGGCGATGCGCTTGACGTGGGATCGTGCCAGCATGAACATGTGACTGTAGAGAGAGGCCATCAAGAGAAGCATGGCAAAGAACATGGACACCAGGCAGACGATGACGGGCGTGCTGTCTGAGTAGATGATGAAGACGATGCCGCAGCCTGTGCAGAAGGTCCAGATGCCGGCGATGATGAAGGTCGCACGCCGCATGGTCATGATGTTGTGGTAGCGCAGGGCGTAGAAGATGGTGACGTAGCGATCCACGGCGATGGCCAGCAGGCTGCACATGGAGGCCACGACGGAGATGCAGATCATGGAGTCGAAGACGTTGTCCATCTGCCGGATGAAGTGGTCGCTCACCACCAGCTGACCACTGTTGAGGAGGTAGATGATGATGGTCTCCCAGGCGTTGGAGACGCTCACCAACATGTCCGCCACGGCCAGGCTGCACACAAAGAAGTACATGGGCGAGTGCAGGTTCTTGTTCTTGACGATGGCGCAGATGACCAGGATGTTCTCCAGCAGGCTGACGATGCCCAGGGTGAGGAACACCTCCGTGGCGATGCTCACCTGCTCACAGACCGTGGGCTTGCTCGCGCCGTCGGCCGCAGTCGCATTGCGTGGCGCAAGGCTGACGTTGGGCAGGAAATCCTCCTGCACCGGGGGCCTCTGGGAGATATTCATCTCGCGTGGGGGGTTCAGGCGCAGGGCTTCCGCAGAACTGTCTCTGAATCACAAGCCTGTTGCAGGCATAGTGGATCTCCTTCCTGTGTGATGGACACTGAAATGAGAAAAGCAGAGGATGAAAGTCACCCCTGATGGAAAATGACGGGTGTGACTGTAGCTGTAGGGCAGGAATGTCAAGCTGTAGTCCTGGGGGGCCGAAGCCCTACGCATTCTTGGGTTTCCCCTCATTTAACACACCTCATTCGACTCCTTGCACATCCTTGTGCTAAGTACCACACATCTCTTGAGTTGAATCATTTGTGTTGGAACAGGGGAAAGAACTAAGCTACACAGGACTCCGGCCCCCCAGGACTGGAGTTTGACACCCCTGCTATAGGGTATGATCCAACAGCCTGAATGACGTAAGAAAACATCAGGGTAATCACAGGATTTGGACAATAAGTATAATAAAAACTCAAAAATTAGTAGCTTTTGGGAACAAACTAGTAAAAACACATGCATACTAAGTTATAGCAACGTATGACATTACATTATATACTCCATAACACAAAAAATAGTATTCCAAATATCTGTTCGTGGTCTGGCATTCTGTGAAATTGCTTGAGGTACTCATTATAATATTATAAAAATAACCGGCATTGCAAAAAGTCTTTGTAGATTTGATTTGACAAAGTTTCCTTTGTTGCAGTGTACCTAACATGATCAGCTGGGTTTATACGCTGCAGACTGTACAATTAGACAATTCATTATATCAAACAAAGCAGTATGTAACCAAAGAGGCAGAAGGAGTCTTTGCAGAAATACTCCTTATTTCCTCTTGCATTGTTTTTCTCCTGAGAGTCCTTTAAGGAAATTAAATGCCTGACAGGCCATGCAATATTTTGTTTTAATGATTTATATTTTACTAATTTCCCAGTAATATTCTGTTACTGATCTTGATCAACTTGGCTGCTGTTCTCGATCTCCACACATGAGCCTGCGTGCTGTGCATGAATACATCTCAGATCTCCTCTTGGCATCCACCTACAGTCCAGCCCCAGGTTCATTACATATGCAAAGAAAGCAGGATTTCTTTGGCATGGACAAGGTGAAAGTCTCTGAATTTCCATTCTGAAAGAGTCCATTCTGGGAAACGGTCTTATTCAGATTTTGCTGATATAAATAAGCTACTTTTCTATCTCCGTCATATTTATGAGTCATTCCACACTGTAGATAATTGCCATAGTCACTAATTATTTGAAAATCCTATATTCAAAAAGATAGAACAAGATAAAATGAAAATCATCAAGCTTAATAATACTAGAAAACTGGCTGCAAGCAAAAAATATTAAGTGGATAATGCATTAGAATGAGAATTCCTGCTTCTCTAGTTTGCATTTGCGCCTCCTATGCATAACTCGGGGCTTTTTCTGCTCAGCACACCTGATCACTTCAGAAACATTGCAGAACATGTGAGTGGTCCATATTGTGTCACACTCCTGAGCATGTAGATGTGGAGCATTGCTTGACGGACAGTGAGGGTGAACTGTACGTCTCTTCATCCAAATGCACAAATTACCTCGCAGGCGACTTGACACTTTAATCTGGCCTCAGAAGGTGCTATGGAAAGAAAATCCCCCTCCAAGAAAAGAGTGAGACAAGGCGGAAAAGCGGGTGACATTTTACACTGTAAAATGTACTTTAATTGGTGGCAGTTAAATGACAGATATTTCCCCAGGAATGTTAGTCATTATCTTCTAAAGAAGTTTGACGGCAATTTATTTCCCTCGACTGTCATTAGCGAACGAGTCCGTGATCACAGACATTCCACCAAAACAATGTTAAAAGGTTAGCATTACCAAAACACTTCGGCTTTCGTTATTAGCAATCCAGTTAGTGTCTGCAAACTTCCAGTGTCTGCAAAACAGGCCACTGCGCTGGTGATCTGTTAACCTCACAGTGTGCATCCAGGCTTTGATCTGCTCCTGCTTTGCACTGCTGCTCATGGTTATGTAAGATACCATTTAAAATGCCTTAACCGTCAATCAGTCTCAGGTAAATATATAAAGCAAAATATATAAAGCAAAGGAAAGCCACTATTGGGAGAGATCAGCATTTCGTAAAAACCAAGCAGAGTTTTACAAAAGCTGTCATGCCAGTATGATATGGGTTAATTAGCACTCGTTAAGCTTGCAGCAGAATCAAAAAAGCACATACAGTTTGGTTTGACATTAAAAAGTCATCTAAAACCATTACTTGGACAATGATTTTGCCTGACATATATTTCTCAGTCTGACAGCTTATTTTATATAATGAAATATCAAACAGTGTTGGAAGATCTTTTTGGTTAAAATTATTGCATATTATTTCTTGTTTTATCAGGAAAATAGTCTCAAATTCTTGCGTGAAATTACCCACAGAGGACCTTGTGTAAGTACAGACCAATCATTAGCAGACCAATCATTTTCCTGACTATAGAGGCTTAAGATGAAAATCTCAAGCTTTCAATTTTGAATTTAATTTGGTCTTACATGCCAAGTTTAACTGAGGTGAAGCAGAACTTTATTGGGTTCACTCTCACAGAACAAAACGATGGAGACAAACATACAAGGAAATAGGATGGATTCCACAAGGAAATATCCTGGCAGAGGTACCAGGAAAGTCACATATGGTAACCTCCATCAGAAAAGACGAGAATCATTGATGGATACTACTCAGATATGATGAAAGGGAACGCTGACTCCTGCCCAGCAATCATCCAGAAAAAAGTGTTGTGATCCTTCAACTTTTACACAAAAAGACGGACACCCAGAATTGCCCAAAACACGAGTAAGAGCACCATACTGAGGATGAGTAATCATAGGTGCGATGGATCAAAGTTTGCTCAGTGAATTTTGCTAAGATCAGGATCCGTAGACTGACATCATCCAACTATGAAACTTCATATTTTTACCTATAAATTGGTCATAATTACTGAAATTTCACATGAACAGCTACAAGTTCGACTTGTAGTTTGACTACAAGTTCAAAAGATAAATTAATTTTAGAGCACGGGTGGCAGTGATTAGGAACAGAGGTAGGTACACCAGAGTGTTTATTATACACAGATGAAGCAGCAGCTATCTTTGGCTGGCAACCAAGACTAACATGCCATAGGTACTCACAAGGTAACCATTAAAAAAAAATCCACACTTTTAATGAGCTATGAGTCATTATGACAGTAGTTGTACCTTAAAATGACAGGACTCACTGTAATGACAAGACTTGCACTTAACCTTATATTAATAGTAGCACCATGTATTGATTTTACCTTTTACTTAGTTAAATTTGATAAATGATTTTTTTTAATTAAAAAACAAACATATTGGGAAAATGATTGGTGTAGTTACCAGAGACATCAATACAGCACAAATCCACTTATTATGATATTTTCAATATTTTTATTTGGTTTAAAAATTAGATTAAGGTTTTAATGTTATGGATTTTATTCAACAGACTCCATGTTCACCATAATCTGGCAGTGGCTCAGCAGTTGGAAGACAGACAGATGGATGGATTATATTTAATAAAATATTAAAAGATAGAGAATTTATAGCTTTTGGATAAATGAAATGAAAGAAAACTGCAGTACAGGTTATGGTGAGAGTTAAGTTTAACTAGTTTTAACTTTAGTAATTTAAATATATGAAGCACAAATGATATAACTGGGATTGCTTATGCTAAAACAATTTTATGATGCGTTCCAATCAACAAACTATTAACTAGAGCTAATACAGAACCATTTCTAATAACATGATATCATGTTTGATCAGGCTGAGTGCAGTCTATGGCCATTGAGGGACCCTCTGGGGGGGGGGGGGTCGACGAGGGCTACAGAACCAAAGGCACAACCAGTGAGTGCAGCTGGAGGTATAGAAGCACGATTAGCTAGATGGACAATTAACTGATATCCGGATGAGCTGTTCTCCACAAAACCTGCCAGATGTTAATTTCTCCTAATACCATTAGGCCAAATTAAATACTGGATGTAATAACAAACAACTGCAAGTCTGAACTCGATAAGCAGTCATGGAAGATGGGAGGGCAAGAGGACAAGAAAAGGCAAGAAAACAAGTGTCAGACTGATAAAGGACTTTAATAGAGTTGTAGCACTGAGAAAGGGCCGTTCCTCTGCATGCAGCATAGACGCAGTGTTCCAGTACGTTCCTCAGGTTTCGATCCTGCTTCATGCAGCAAAAAGCCCAGAGCAATAATGAGGAATGTTTGGATACAAACCAATACAATTCTGGTGAATCATGGGGGACGGGGACTTGTCCTGCAGCCTGGGTGTTGGCCGACTACACGAGACGGCGTGCGGTTTGGGATCTAAAGTCATGCGTCGGCATGATCGCAAGCAGTGCCTGCGGGTTCTGAGAAGAGGAGCGGCGGCTCGCCCCAGGAACAGCGACGCCACTCCACCAGCGATCCAGGACGCAAACAGCCGCACAAACAGCCGCTTTGTCTGCTATTCTTAAACGCTTCTGTTTCTGAGGCCAGGCTTAGGCGCGAGGCAGCCAGCTGCCTTGGATAATTCGGCTTTTGCATCTGAAACGTGGTGTTCAGCCGCTGGTGATGTAATGGTCGGCCATGTTCCTCTGCGTCCCGTGACTTTTTTACTGGCCCATCTGGGCACCTCGAGATGCTCTTTTCACACCTGTATGGGGCCTGGTACCACATATTCCAAAGACATGCTTGGGAGGGGAGCATATTCTCCCAATGTATAATTTGGCTTCATTCACCCTCCAATAAATAAATCATCCATCCAGGGTTGCAGGGGGTCTGTAGCCTATCCCAGAAGCTATGGGCATGAGGTGGGGAACAACCCAGAATGGGGGGCCAGCCCTTCACAGGGCACACTCACACACCATTCACTCATACATGCACACCAATGGGCAATTTAGGTACTCCAATTAGCCTCAGCATGTCTTTGGACTTGGGGGGGGGGTAACTGGAGTACCCAAAGGAAACCCCATGACAACATGGGGAGAACATGTAAACTCCACACATACGTGACCCATGTGACTTGAACCCAGGTCCCAGAGGTGTGAGGCAACAGTGCTAACCACTGCACCACCATGCCAACCCCCTCAACAAATCATTTCATTAAAATTATTACGTTGTGTCCCCCTGGATATCAGCCTCTCTCTTACACCTTTGCTTGACTGCATTTCTTTTCTGCTTTTTCGTCAACCTCAATCTGTTTCTCTTCCGCTAATTCAATCTTCTCTCCCTACTCAGGTCAGGCCAGCCCACGTCCTCCTGAAAGCAACGTCAGAAGCCATCGTTGTTCTCAACCTCCGGCTCCAGCAGACACAGATCTTCCAAGTGAGGCAAGCTCATGTTTATCCATCCAAACATTTTCCACACCTTGTCCTATGCAGGGTTGTGCAGCTCCCAAGCCCTTTTATGGACAATCTGGCAACTACACTTCATCTTGCATTGTCTTTGGGCTGTGGGGGGAAAGCAGGGCACCCGGAGGAAACCCCACAGTGACATGGGGAGAACATGCAAACTCTACATACACAGAGCCAATTAAGATGGCGACTCGAACTCAACTATGCTAGCCAGCATACCACCGAGCCGCCCCACCTCGTGCTTATGGCATTTCAAAATCAGGATGGCTTGTTGGATCCTGTTAGTATGCTATCCTTAAACGTCACGCTAGGGTCTGACCTGGCCGTTGTTCCTGCAGCGATGGCTGTTCCTTGTCGCTTGTTTTCTGTGCCATGGAATACGACTAGTTCCTGATAAATATTGTCTGTGACAGCGCAGGGTATTGGATACAAAAATGTTATCTCAAGTTTCAAGTTTATTGTCTTACGTACTTCGTAAAATTAGATTCTTACTCTCATGTCTTCCACATACACGCGATTAAGATTAAATTTTAAAATAATAGCAAGTAGCACCAGCCGACGTTAAAGACGCAGGGACGATAAGGAACACAGAAATTATCACTGAACAACAAATTAGAAAATGGCACAAAACATTGTTTCATGATACAAAGACATGGTAATAATGTATGTATAATGAATAATGATATATATGTAATTTACTTATATTCCGTAGTCAATAAGTGTTAGTTGCTAGGTAACTACAGTTATAATAATAATAATAATAATAATAATAATAATAATAATAATAATAATAATAATCAGGAATAATATAAATACATTTGGGTCAACACCACGTGACACGTCTTCATTTGTGGATCAAAACATTGTACAAAACAACAAACGTAGCATCTGAGGCTGTTTAAATTATTCCATTGGCAAAGAAACTGTACCGGAAGGCTTGCACACCGGCAAATCCTAAATCCTCTGATCGTGCTGCAATACGAAGATAATTTTTGCTGCATATAACGCAGCAGCACAAGAATTCTGCCACGGCGCTATATCTGCACGCACATTGTACAAAAGCGAGGCAAGTACATCCTTGTACAAACAGTGTGACCAAATCATGTTACATTAATATTTCGATGGACTGCATACTTCTTAAACTATATTAAATATGCTACTTCAAATGTTCCGCTTTCTGAATGTATGTAAAGACATTGTTTGGCTTTACTTATTCCTTATATAAAAACATTCTGGCAATTGTTTTATTGGCAATGCTTCTGCTTGGTAAGTGTCTAAGTATCTTAACAACTGTTGCTTTTCATTTCGCTCTCGTTTTCCCCCACCCCGTGATGTTTGTGCTCAGAAACAAACACGGATTTTTCATCAATCAATGAGAATTGCTTTGCGGGGGGCAGGGAGGCTAGAATTGATTTTCCCATAAAATATAATTAGTGTCTTCGATTTTAGCCTATGGTACGGCTTTTGAAGACCCCGTTTCTCTTTTTCAGAACTGCTTGGGCGGACAGCGCCTTGGCTGGTCCGCATGTTATCCAGCTACATACCCCGGCAGGTGCCACAGCTTAGGGGCCTCTAATGGCTCCGCTCGGCGGCGAGAGAGTTATCAAGCTGCTCTAGTCCACTCGAAGTCAGCGGTGCAAAGTCTGTACCCCCATCCAGCACTGGCAATGGTACTGAGAGCTATGCCTGACATTGATTTCAAAGACCATACGTCCAGAAACTCGCATTAAACCCGTCAAAAAGAACAATCCGTGGCGAACTTCTTTGGAATTATCTAGACAATTGTTACTATTTCACAATTTACGTAACATGTATTTTAATTCCTTTAGAAATACATGCACGATGTTTTAAAATCAGATATTCCTTGTACCGAAACTAATTTTAATATGCGCGAACTAGTCTGTGTATGACATTCATTTAGCCATGCAGCGATTATTAAAATTGAGTAATAATCACCGATGATTAAAATAAAGTAATAAAATGCAATAAAAGTAAAGGCGTCGCGGTAAAATGCTTATTGCAATAATTGTATACCCTAAAGCGGCAAATGGTGTCTTGAACAAATGAGACGCATGGTGGAGATTACTGCCTAAAATCTCAGCAATACCGGCTGACCACGTACTTTATACTTATTAAAAGATCACATCTTCGCAAGTTCACAATCAACAAGTCGTTACCTTTCTGAGGAATTGGATTCCAGTGCTGGGGCTTTTCCTCTGTAGGTTAGAAAATGCCCCCCCGCTGGCTTCGCGCCTCGCAGAGAGATGCAGTTTCCCCCTGCAGCAATCCAATGCAGCTGGGCTGCCTGCACGGCCGGCGACATTTATACCCCGACGAGACGCCGAGCGGGGGGCAGCGGAACTCCACCTCCCAAAATTACACCCGTGATGGTGCTACATTTACCACCCCACCCCAAAAATCCTCTTCTTAAGACGAGCTTCGTCAATATTCTCCGCTCCTAATAACAGCTACGGCAATTAAGTTGCGCTACAGGCAACTTAAACATGCTAATTGCAATGAGTATTAACAACCTCGCGGGCGGGACACTAAGGCTCTTCCCCAAACCGGCTACTCAAATGTAAGGTAATGTTTAGAAAAAAAACAAATAACGTCCATCCTTCATTTGCCATTACACTGTCACTCCCACAGGGCTGTGATCAGACCAAGGAAGGGCATTTGAGTATGAATGCTACAGACGTGCGCTTACCGATACTGTAGGAGCACTTTTTATGTTTAGGGGAGCTGCAGAGTTCCTGGCTGATTTGGTCTCTACCCATTGGCATAACCCCCCCAAATAATAAAAACCAGCCAGTACAATCCCCTAGACCTTGTTAAATCAGTTAGTTAGATCTTGGGTGGAGACCACAACTCCCCCAGTACTAAACCCAAAGTTACACCCTTGTCCCAAACTATGTTGGAATCAAACCTACATCCTTGGGTCCGACCAAAGCCACAGATGGAAAGAATCTTCATCCATCCATCCATCCATCATTTATCCTCCAATCATGGATTCAGTGCTGGGTCAAACCTTTACCAAGGAACACAAGGTCATAAAACATGCAGTTACGTCCATTGATGTCCCTCTTCTGCATCGATAACTGCAGTGCCAGGGAACGCCACCGTGAGCAGCATGCAGCCTATGCACCCTTTGAAGTCCTTTCCTTCGCTTCCCCAGCCTAACCCCATCCACCGTGACCACATCACCCCAGCCTAACCCCATCCACCGTGACCACATCACCCCAGCCTAACCCCATCCACCGTGACNCATCACCCCAGCCTAACCCCATCCACCGTGACCACATCACCCCAGCCAGTGCTGTGGTGCACTGGCGTCCTGTCCATTAAATAAATAAATAAATAAATATAGCATGGGCTAATATCTGAAAGATCATTATCATGTCTTCTTCTTAGAGACCAACAGAAATTGATTATCACATATTCCATGGTAGATCTGATATAAAAATAAGTGTAATGAGGGTAATCTATCATGAAGAGAGGGCACTTTAATGGGCCAGTTGCTGCTAATTAGATATTGTGACGCCGAACCTTTTAAAAACAGCCTTTTCATATTCACATTTTTAAATATTCAGGCAAAAATTCTCAGGAGAGGAGGAACTGTATTGCTGAAGTTGTCACATTTGCATCTACCCCTATAGGACCATCATGTGAAAAAATCCCCAATTCAGATTCCACCCAACTCTGGAAGTTTAAAGATCTTTTGCTGTTTTGTTTGAGATCATCTGAGTCACTGACTGATAGCCCCGACGTAACGGGGGCGAGGACCCCTGCGGATACAGCACTTTCTACCAACTCAGAAAAGCTTGGCAAAGAAAGAGGCTTGTGTTAATGTTTTTCAAAACTCTTGGGGGGGGGGGTGTTTTGGCTGTATTACTCATAGGCAAAAACAGTCGCGAAAGAACTTGTGACCATCTCAAACACTTTACAGTCTCATAAAACACCGGCTAAATTAAACCGTCACATCATTTAAAGAAATTTACAAATGATCAGCTTGTTGAGGAAGCCCACAGAGACTGCATGCGTTTGTTTGCGTAATTCTGATGAATGTACTCGGTATAAAGGTACAAATTTACACAGGCAGAAGAACGGGTCACCAGCAGAAAAATACATGTTAAACATGTTCATAAGCCTTCCTGAAAGGAAAATTTACAACAACAAATCGCAGGGTTAAAGAATATATTTTTAATAGACTGTTCTGGGTTACCCACTGTCAAAAGTTTTTAATCATAGGCTTCCAGAACTAGCAACAAATGATCAATTTTTATATGATCCTGGCAAAAGGTCAAATAGATGAAAGCAGAGAGACTGGGGGGGGGGCTTTTATGCAGCACGAGTCATTAATCCCTCACATTACAATTTTCCATCAGATTTTGAAAAAAATCACTTTTTATCAAGTTTTTAGCACAATAAATCACAAACAAAATGTGGTCTCTGACCCGGTGTGGTATAAGCAGTTGAATATAGAAAGATGGATCGATGGATGGAAGTATACAAGTATTATACAAGTATGTTTATCACAGGGTGAGGTCTATGCTTTTAAAACTATTCCGTGATAGCAGACTTCATAAAAAGGAAATACTAAGATTAAAGACAACATGCTCAATTAGCAGAAGATTCATTAACTGGGCCGACTTGTATCATCAAGCTCTTGAGTTCCTCAGCCTTTTTACCATTATTTATACTACTTTTGCTATAGTCTAAAACTGAAATGTTGCAGTCATGAGCCCAATTAGATGCCGAAACATCCTCGTTTGATTTAACAATGCGATTATCTCACTCGAAAGACTTGGAGATTTGTTTTATTGTACTTTTCCATGTAGTGTCAGGGTCAGTGCCTGACCCCGCCCTCTGACCCCGCCATCTGACCCTGCCCTCTCACCCCGCCCTCTGACCCCGCCATCTGACCCCGCCCTCTGACCCCGCCATCTGACCCCGCCCTCTGACCCCGCCATCTGACCCCGCCCTCTCACCCAGCCCTCTCACCCCGCCCTCTGACCGTTCCCTGCTTGACCAGCAGCCATTGCTGGCCATTCTGCTTCTCTGTCTCTTGCTTTTCAGCTGTTGCTTGTTGCCCTGCTTTGTTGTTTGATTGGTTATATTCTATCACTCACACCTGCCCTTTGTTAGTCCTCAGTATCAGTGTACTTACGTGCCTGTCTTTGGTAATTTCCCAAGTCGGTCACTGTGTATATTGTTCTGTGTTTGTTACCCTGCATGTTCTGAGTTCTCTTCTCCATATTACCCGTTTCCCTATGTAGGCCATTTGTGGTTCTGTTAGTTATTTTCCCCTGTTTAGGTCTGACCCCTCCTGGTCCTTTTATTTTGTATTTTACCTCATAACATTCACAACATTTAGTCACTTCAGTGACATTTGTAGTCAAGGCCGTTATCCATTTGTATGGCTACATATTCTTCAGCTCACGTTGAGCACCCTACTGAAGCTGTAATGTAACCAATGAGCTTTAGAGTAACAAGGCTCATCCTTAACCATTACCAGCATCCTGGTACCCTAACTGCACCTTAATTCCAATGCATAACACTCTTCCACTATTTGGGACCTGGACTTCTTTCCAAGCATGTCAGGATCGGTCCCTGTCTGGTTATGTCTGTTCCCTGTCTTGCCAGCAGGTGTCGCTGGCCATCCCGTGTCCCTCACTCCTAGTGTTTCCCTGTTCCCCAGGCTGTTGTGTGGCTTAATGAGCTAAGCGGATAGCCGTTTTTCCACATTCCCCCTTTGTTGTTGCAGTTGTCATTTAACATTTGTTTTGTGTTTTTCTTGGTTTATCGTGTGTTTGTGTATTTCAGATACAGTCCTAACAAGTGACTTTTCTTTGGCTTCTGGGCCTCTCTGGAGCTGTTTATTGACCCCACCTGTGCCTTGTTAGCCTCGTTGTATATATGTGACTGTCTTTGCCTTGTCTGCTCAGTCGGTCATTGTGGTTCTTACTGTGTGTTAGTTCCCATGTTTTTAGCGTTCTGCTAATTGCTTGGTCCCGACGTGTCTTATTGCCTGTATCGTCTTAGTTGTATTTTTAGTGGTACTTTACCTTTGGTTAGTTATAGTTTACTTCTTGTTCCTGCCTACTTGTTCCAACCCCTCGCAGTGCCTTTATTTTCCGGTTCTCCCCTTGTTTTTGGTATTGTTCTTAAAACCCAGCTTGTTGAGAGCCGCTACATGGGTCGCCCCACCTTCATCATGTCCCGTCGTAACAATGCAAAGATTTAGCGTGTGTGACACATATCAACACTTTTGATGTTTCAGTGTTGGCACACATTTTCTCAAAATCTCACAGGATGATTGGGTTCCTACACAAAGGGGAAAAAAATATTCTTTCACCTGAGTATTATTTATGATCAATGGAAGAACAGGTCAGCGGATTTGACCGTTATGAGTTGAGTACTAAGATTTTGAAACCCCTCTACTTTTTAATGTTAAGATCCTTACATAATGTCTTCAGAGAGGAGTTATTACATTGAAGCCTTTGACCTTAATCATTTGTTCCTTTCTTCTCATTGTTTTAGGTGTATGATTCAATTTCCACATTATTACTTCAAATTAAAGCCATTCAAACTAGAGAAAAAATTGCAGTAAAATGACCTATTATACAGTAACCCCATCAAACCACCAATCAAACCTGCTATTGAAATTTTAAATATATATCTGGATTTAATTTACAAAAGTTACACTACCCAACACTATGTAAAACCGATATTAAGGAATACCAATAATTATAATAATTTTGAATATGTATAGGAGCTGTACTTCAAACGGATGAACTACATTCTGCTCAAGGACCATTAGATTCAGTGCAACATTATAAATCACTTTCATGCTCAAGCCGATTAAAATTGTACTGATGTTACACAGAGGAATCACATGAGAATCAGAAATTAAACGTTGCGTATTACCCGACACCCGATCACTTATGTTTGTCGTAAAAGAAAGCAAAATGGTTTGTGACAGATGTGTAATACTCAGCTTAAATTCCCATTCTGTGCCAAGAATAGTGAAATTATAAATGTTACTACAAAAATCCATTCTTCTCTATGAAGATATTTATTTGTGCTTCTCAATGCTGTGACCCATTTTGAGGATTACGGAGTCAGCACTAGAGGACTCGCAGACACACGCGCATAGCGTGGGAGAGAGTACTGCTTGCTTTGAAACTGATTTCTAAATTCATATTTTCATGTACATTTCTTCCAGCATTTCTGACATGTATGTCAAGGCTTCAGGCCAGGGGTGCCATAAAAGTGGGGGAAAGTTTTCAAAAACTTTCAAACATAATTGAATTGG